GCTTTGGATGACATTTGATAACTGTAATGTTGATTGCGAATTCACCAATGTTTACATCAGACACGGCCCTAAACCTAGAGTAATCATCTCTACCATTTTTGTCACAGGTGATGAGATTCTCGTGTTACCACTACTTCACTGTAATTAAGGATTCTTGCTAGCTACTAAACACTAGCTTGTTCGTATCTTTTCTAGCAATCCTCAACGGCTCTTTGACCTTTAGCCTTGACTTGTTTTAACCATGGCGAAAGCGATCTCCTGTTCTAAATAAACACTGCAGGGCCTCCCCTGCTATGGGCAAGCGCTCAACCATGTTTCACTTATTTCTTAGTTCCGTTTATGTCCTCAATAATGTAGCAGTGATCACTTTCTATGCAATTGTCGTAATCCGCTAAAATTTATGTCACCTTTATTAGCCTGCAAGTCCCTCTTTAATGCACAAAAACGAAGTTCCGCAGGACAAGAAAGAAAGTATCAAAAAGGACATGTTCAACTAAGCGCTTCAGAGCAAAGAAACATGGGTTGACTAACTATTCATTCCCGGGTCTGGTTACAAGATGACATGATTGCTCTCCCATCTTATTCGTGTTAACTCACAAGGAAAGCTTATTCAGTCGAAGTGGTCTTTATAAATAAAACGTAGACCACATTTACTCACAAAGCGCTAACTCCAAAATTACCTTCCTTATCTGCAGAACATTTATGGACGAGGGGTTATGAGCGTTTTTTGGAGCCAAAAATCAAATGTGCATTTCAAATAGAATGAGTGGCTGAAATCTTACTAGCTCTAAAATATTGCAACCAAGTGTGATATTTTTTATTTTGGAGTGTTTTTTGAATAAAGTGCTCTGATGATTGTCACTGCTCCATTGAAAAGCTAAAAAAGTATTACGGCTATTTTTGTCCTACTTGCAATTCAATTCTTCGCTTCAATAAGCGTTCATGTCTCCTCGTTTATAAATGCTCTGCAAATAAGGAAGGCAGATTTGGATTCAGAATTTTATGCCTTCAGTATGATATAAAGGCTACTGCAAGACGCAGAAGCGGTATCAGTTGAGCGGGCGCGAGCGCGGCGCGCGCGTATCTTCACCATTATAAAACCTGCGTCTCATGCGCTGCGGCTAATAAAGCCGTGTTCGCGCCCAAAGGTATTACGCCTTCGTCATGCAGTAGCCTTTACATCCCATCTGAGGGTTGAGCCAGAGAGCGCGGCGTACGGGCGTACGTGACGTACGCAGCGTACGCTCGGTATATTTCATCACAGGAGGGTACGCGGCGTACGCTGCGTACGCCGCGTACGCCGCGCAGTCTGGCCCAACCCTGAAAAGGCCACTTCGACTAAACATGGATTCCTTGTCAGACTACTTTGCTCTTTACGAAATCAACTAGTTGGCTAACCCAACACTCCTCGCCTGTCAACAATAATTCGCAATCAGCATGCTCATCCACCCTTTGCCAACTCCCACCTTCGTAGGTGAAACTTTGCAAAAAAGCGATGAAATCGATATCGATCAATGGCGAAACGTAGCCTCCGACACCCACCCCGCCACAAAGTGTATGTGTGCCAAACTTGGTCCGTATCGATTTAGAGTTAATTCTATTCAGAACATACGTACAGACACAGAGACATAAACGGACGATCAGTTCTATTGGTACTTCTCCGTTATCCGGACCCGTATTTACAAAGAAGGAGAATGCTACTTTCTTAGTGCCATATATAGTCCCAGCCTTACAGGAAGGAGTGCCAACCTTCTGCTATGTGTCAAAAAAAATTGACGTTTTATCTACATGTTTAGCAAATTTTACAAAAGTTTGTGTTGCCCTATCATGTGAAGAAATTTCAACCTGTTTTTGAATCGATAATGACCACATTCTGACTAAACAACTCCAAAAATGAAATTGTTATAGAAATAACATTATCCTGTTATCAATGTTATCAATGAACAGATTGGACCTGCCCAGAATAGAGAATTGCGCTAGGTTTCCATCATCTAAGCGGCGAAACAAGCAGTAGCGAGGTACTTTAAGCCATCATTCATAGCATTTCCTGGTTATCGCATGAGAGACAGAGTTCAAAGAAAAAACATCCTTTCATCATTGCTGAAAGCAATAATATGTCCTATATTTATTTTATTTATTTATTTATTCAATACGCACAAAGCGTGCCATAATTGGAACAAAGAGCAGAATACGTAGAGCATGAACAGTAAAAAGAACAAAACATCCCCAAAAGCTCAAGTCCAGCTCCGTGAGTGGAAGGAGGTTAAGCCTATGAGAGATGCTAATGAGATGTACGAGGTGTTAATTGTTTGGCTTTTATGGAAAAAAGTTAAACAGCTCTTAAGCCACCACAAATGCTCTTTTACCTCACCGGAAATGATTTAGATAAAAACATGGCAAAATGGACCAAGACGTGTTAATTCTTTCCTGCCTGAACGGGGCAGCAGTCCTCGTAAATTAATGAAAAACTGTTTTAAACAGAAAAGATCTTATAAGAGCTTTTTGAGAAAATGGGTTCGGATAACGGAAAAGTACCGTTCTATTCTGAAAGATATAATATAATGTCTGATGTCAAAAGAGTCCTATCAGGTAGGTAGTGCGTGCAGCAAGTTTAAAATGCCTGAAGGAATATTTGGAAGGTAGGCATTCCAAAATTCCAATCTGAAGCTTTTTGTTCTAATCCATAGGCTGTATAATGTCGCGGCTCCGCGATTCCAGTTATTCAGATTATTGAGGCCGGAAGCACTAGTTGCTGCCCTGTTTGGCGACGATTACGGTGGTCTTAAAGATAGGTCCGAAGACACTTTTCCACAATCGCCTCCGGACCCATTTTATTTTAGCGCGTTACTAGCCAATCGGCTATATATATATAGTGGCGACGTCTTATACAGGGTCTGCTAGATTTCGTTTTCGATCGATCTTTGCTGTGTATTCATTCTGTGCTGCTGCCTGACTGAGAGACGGCTATGGAATATCTCTTTTTACGATTGAGCGAATCACGATGGGATTTGGATCTATTGTGAACGTATTTCGAGCTGAGCTTTTTTTAGAATGACTTGGACTCGGACTCTAACAAGGTCTGAGAAACTTCGGGTAAATAAATAGTTGTGTATGTCTTATACCTTGGCGACGAGCGTTGGATTTGTTTGGGAGAAGCCTTGGAGATCAAGGTTGAGCAAGAGGTCAGGCACAAGTACTTTGAAAGCGATTCCCTCTCCCTGAAAGCCTCCAAGTGACCGTTTCTTCGCTTTACCTCCAGATCCACAGGCTGTGACATGGAAAAACATCAGCCTTCTTCGAGGGAATTTTTGTTTTCGGACATCTGTGCGCCATTTTGCCAGTGTTCAATGACCCACGCAATACTGCGAATTCGTAAATTACAGAGTGGTTTTATGTCTCAGCACTCATATGAGAAAAAGAGCGACTGTTTTGCAGGCAAGACGAAGGGGTCAAGCACAAGGCAACAAAAGCCCAGGCAGCCTGACCGTTCGGGGGCTTGTGCTTGACCGTTTTAGCTTTACCTTTGAGGTAGCATTTTTACCCTAGGTTTATGTGATTCGCTAGAACAAACCACGACGAGGCTACATTAGGTGTTTGGGCTTACCTCGACTTGATACGGCTTTGTGATAATCCGTGGAGATGAAGCACTCAGAATGGAGAACACGCAAATTGAAGTTTTGGCATCACTTCTTAATCTATTATGAAAGCGATATGAAGTCTAGCTTCTAGCGTGGGGAGATAGAGCATATTACTTATGAGTGTAAAAAAGCTGACTCTTTTCACTTTCGAAACTATTATTAGTTGATCACGTTTGAAAATCATGCTTTTTAGATACTAGGAAACATCACAATGTAATAAATAAAGGTTAGCAAAGCTTACATGCTAAAAGAAATTTGTTACCATTTTGCAAAGCAATCTTTGATGACATTGCGATATGTGTAAGGCAAGGGGTGAAGATTTGAAATTTGGCACTGCGATAGTGGAATCAATCACCAGGCTGTTCACGACTGCCATTTCTTCCTTTCCGGTAAAGTTGTAATATGGTCTAACGCTTTTATTCTTCAATTTACTCAATCGTAGTATTTCCTCAATTTCGGACCGGGAAATCGCGCGCGGCGAAAAACAGTGCACTTTCAGCCATTCGCCAACAAAGGGACCTTATTTCGTAGACTGTGTGCTACATCTGTATCAGCTTGTCAGATAAGTCCCATACCCAAAGTTCTGAGTGAATTCGAAGTGTTTGAATTTTGTCGCTTGAGAAGGACTTCTGTGCTTTCCTGAATGACAGAAACAAGAACTCAGTTTCTAATAGTATGCAAAAGTATCTATGTTGTACACGGTACACGTCAGCATTGAAACTATGGTTTTTCTCATTAAAATCGAAGCAAAGAAAAGTTGCGACGTCGCACGCGTCGTTCGCGTCGTTGCATCTGTTGTTCGATTTGTCCTTATATTTCCTAAACAAATATCGGCGGCACAACTCTACAGAGTCATTTGAAAAGTAGGAGCTTAGGCCTTTGACTTGATAACCTTAGACTAAAAGAAAACCTTCTGTGAACGTCAAAAAGATCCTTCAAATCAGCGTGCTGTACCATGTGCAGCACCGGTCCGAAACGTGTTAAGAGCAAGAACAGCAGCGACATTGGTAGCGTGGGTCTAAGCAGCTCGTCTTAAGTCTGGATTTTTATCTTCTTTATAGTTATTAAAGTATAATACTTCATTTCTGTTGTCGTGCGCCAGACTAATTGTTAAGCAGTAAGCAAGGATGCGGTGTATATAGCAAGCCATCTCTCCGGATAGAGTTTGAGGGCTATGTCTTTTTCAACCCGGAGTAAGCAAAACATCCCAAGTGGGTCGCGCGTAAGCATAGCCACTAGCTCAGCGAGATAGATTAGAATAAAGAAACGCAGACTGCAAAGCGGCGCGAATGGTTGCGAAGCGGAGCCCACCCGCCAGCCAATTTCGCCTAAACTGAGTTAAAAAGTACTATAAGTGCTTACCGAGCCGCCACACATGCTGGGAACGCTTGGCAATGAGCACTGACTGGGATGCTACAGTGTATTGCTATCTGAATACGGACACTTGAACAAATTGAAGAATACTAATTGAAGAATACGAAAAAGGTAACGCTCAATTTCTAGACCACGAAATGATACTAATATGTAGTCACTTTTGCACATTATGCATTTAATCACGGGTACGCTATCTCGAAAGGTAAACAGATCTTACAAAAAGGGCAGGATTGTATAACAAGGCAGCAAACAAGGCTAGCAACTACTCGGACGAAAAAGCCAAAAGCGATACAACTCTACATTTTCCAAATGTGAATGAGAGCGAGCAACTCATACTGCCAGCGGAAGTGATGGGAATTGATGCAGTGGACGACAGATGTCTACAGAAATTTCATCCTCGAGTTCCGTAACTTTTATAGATGCTAAGAGGCGGGGCAAAAACAAAAGAGCCAATGGCGCCTTACAGTAAATGATTAGCTTTTTTTTCTAAGGCATTGTTGAGTCGAGTCACGCTTCATGACGTATACCGCACAGGACTCAACAAACACAGCTTAAGTACATCTAGTGTCATAAGTACTAAGACTTTGCACGCGGCTTTTTGGCCTTCACAAGTTCATACACTGATAACCGCGTCCCACATTGAGAAACACTATTGAAGGACGGGACGATCATTGCACCGCGCTTCCAAGGTAAAGCACGTTTTGAATTGGGCGCTAGAGCCAGTTATAAATTTGACTACGTTAATTTCTTGTACGGGGTTTAGATGACAATTTTGGTATATCTGTTTGGAGATTCAAAAGACAGACTCCTTGATCGGGCACGCTAATTTTCTAAAGTATTGCAACTTCTCCTAAAAAACAAAAATCTCTAACTACGAGTAAAGTTGAATTGTTGAGGAAGTCCTTGAAGTAGGTTCCAGCATGGATATTTTTGATTTGTAAGTGCGCGCTTGCGCACACTTGTATACACGCATTTTGAGAAGCAGACCTCGAGCAGTGCACACGAAACGCACCACTTTGCATCGTCTCCTCCGTTCTGCAGTATAAGTATAGTTTCGCACTCCATCTACCAAACCAAAAAATGCAAAAATCTATTTATGAAGCAAACGAAAGTTACCCATCTACTTTCTAAATTGATCTTTTCACCAGCTTAGCTCAAATTATAAAATGTTCGTTACACTGAAACTTATCTGGTTAGAGAAATTCACAAGACTACTAGTTTGGGCCGCTTGAAACCTTGCTTAACTTATAGCATATATGTATCATTTACATTTAAGAAAGCGGTTTGAAACGGAAAAAACTGTACCTCACAAGAGAATCCAAGCCAGATCTCAAAACATCTAGTTAACAGCTCAAATGCAGAACAGTTGTGTATCAAAGCTCAAACCTAACGGTCTGTGTTTTGATACACCTGTCCTCGGTCAGCCCACTGTGGCATTCGCTTCCATAATTGGACAGTTTATGTAAAGCGATGCAAAAATGCCAACATTTTCTCACTAAAAGTGCGCACAAAAAAATTACAGCGACCAAAATCGGGCGAGGTATGGCGGTTGTCCAAAACTCATTTCTTGATTATTGACTCGACACAGGCTCTAAGCTAATCGCCAGCTCCCCTGCAATTCGGTTTTGGAGAGTGCGGCGTCATAAATACGAATTTATGTCGGGTGAGTGCCCTTTCGTATGATGAGCAATGCCAAGGGCTGCAGGCACTAACAATCCCCACGGGGAGATGATCGCAGCTTACAAAGAAACCTTTATATCCTGAAGCTCCGAACTTCCAAATTCTAACTGTCTATCCATCCGTAAGTATTCCTACCATCCTTCACTATGTACATATCGAACGGGAGCGGGAAGCTGTATAAGCCGCATATTCCAGCATTTTGTATGATCTCCTGATGATCCCCGGCGGCCAACCGATTTTTCTCCGAAGCCATTATTCTTTCTTCAAAGTTAGCGAAAACATTTTGAAGCTGTACTGTTCATCAAGCCTAACAGTGCTAAGCATGTAGCTGATAAGAATAAATGATGTATTGAACTCATGAAATTTGCGATGAACCACAAATCGAATGTTGAGGTTTATCGAAAAAATGATTTCTCAAAAACTTGTCTGTTTTTATCAGCAGCATGTTTAGACTGTTGTATTAGATATTCAGTACAACTTTGGAAGGTTTTCGTTGATTTCGAAGAAAGAAAAGTGACTTTGAAGAAAAGACGGTCGGCGAGAATCATCAGGGCATCATACTAGATGCTGGAAAATGCGGCTTGTACAGCTTAGAAGACGATCAACGGCGTCATCTCTATGCAGCCTTTATATAATAAAAAACAAATCAACGTGTTTCAGCTTGCGCGGTATTCGATATGTTAAAAGTTTGGCAGATTTGATGAAAATCCAAGTGAAATGTTTAGGAAGTTGATACCAGTTGCATTTTCTAAAGTTTCTGAATTTCAACAATTATGTTTAGATTTATACTGAGTAATAAGAGCGAACAAACTATGGAACCGGCTAGTAACTAGGGCGCTGTCAAACACAAATTATGTACAATTTGATGTCCGGTTGGCATTAAAAATCGCGATTCTTGATGCTATTTGATCACAAGAAAGACAGCTAGGAAAAGCAAAGTTCCTAGCAGGCACTAAGCTTCGCTAACAATTTGTGAAACTTCTCACTAATTCTTAAACTGTGATAACTCTTTTCTTGCAATCTGTGCGATCCTTTAGCGTCTTAGAAGAAAAAATAAACTCAGAAGTTTGTTTGAGAGTAGATTAAAGAATATGGTCAAATACAATTTTGTACCCTACATATATTTGTCCAATACATTTTTAGAAGTAGAAATTTTACACCCATTGTAAACGATAATTCTTCGTAATCATCCCGGCACACCGTCAAAGCTCAAAATGATTAGTGAGCCTTAGTATGAAAAGTCCCCGTCCCCCCCCCCCCCCCCACCCCAAAAAGACCCAGATTAACTACATTCCGATTCAACGAGTTGGCGGCTGGTGGGTGATGCTCGCGTCCTCGCGGCCGCTTCGCCTGACTCCGCACCTCTTGCGATCGTACTGTCTGATGATTAAACTCCGCCTTTACCACACTCGTGATGGGAAGATAACTAGAGAGCCCGCTAACGAAAGAGGTACAGAGCTTAGGCAGCCCCCTTCCTGCCGCCAATCGTTGAATCAGAGGGATGTCAGTAGATATGTCGGGTAAACCAAGAGCAAGACCGAAGCTGAAATGATTATATAGAGAGAAAACGGATCTGAGAGAACTTGAACTAGGAAAACAACAAGCCGTAGGTTGCGAACTGTGTAAGAGACAAATATAGCAACCTAAACGCAAGAACAAATCAACTAAATGTTTTGCATAAATGGATCGGATTTGGTGAAACTCATGTCGCAGAATAGTAAAAGACCTTTAATTATTGTATACCGTTAAGTAGTGAGAATAGGTCAGCGTGAAAGTTTTTTCAAATCGTATTGATACCAGAGAATCAGGATGGCAAAGAGCGTTGCTTGAGCGAGCAGAGATTCTCTTTTGTAGATCAACTTTTTTATGCCTAATACACTTTTATTTGATCGCACTGACCATGTGGCACGCAATAGTCTACAAACAACCACATTGCTCGACTGATTTTAGGTGAAAAACGACAGAACGTTTACAAAAACTGTAATTGAATTAGATGTTAAAAGTTGCAAAATATGAGACTTTTTGCGGAAGGAAGCTACTCAGTTGTGTGAATGCATTAGTATTGTAGCAGCAATGAAGGAAATCCATGCGAGCATGCTTGATAAAAACAAATGAAAATTCAGAAAATAAAAAATCATACCTTTTCTGCTGCAAGCCTCAAGTCTGTATAACGAACGTGACTTCTCGTGCGGGGCATCCAGATGAGCTTCTAAAAGGGATGCGAAATTCAAACCAGAATTCTTGAATAGGTCTAGCAAAATTTGCACGTTATCTACTAAAGCACAATTTATAAAAAATGAATTTCTACATATGTCGTTGCTACACGGTCATCGAATGTGCATTCATTCCTAAAGCTACAAATCATAAGAAGGTGGTGTAATGATATTAGCACGTGTAAGTACCACAAAGCTTTTTAAGTAACCGATAACAAGAACACACCGATTTTGAAGGAGATTTCTAACAAAACGATCCCAACTCAAGGTAGCGAATTGGGATGAACCCCATATCGTTAGTTGCGTCTTGATGAGCGGATTTCAAACCTGCTCTGCCTTTCATATCTGCGATGCCGTTCTCTGCAAAAAGTTATAAGCGGTTGAAAATGTGAAGTCACTGGGGTTTCAATGCATAACGTGCTTCAAAATCCAACGTGGGAGTGTATGACTAGCATGATATTGAGTGCATTTATTTCAAGGAATGTTCACGTTCAGAAGAAACACAAATAAGTGTTTTTGAACAACTAGAAAGCAACTAAAGTTCGTTCGTGTTCGTGAAATGAAGTTCGTGAAAGCTATGAGCAATAAAAAGTGCAAATTTGGCAAATTTACAGCGCCATACCTCGAGGGTTAGTTGTTCAAAAACACTTATTTGTGTTTCTTTTGAACGTGCATTCCTTGAAATTAGTGCACTCAATATCATGCTAGTCATACACCCCCAAGTTGTATTTTGAAGGAGATAAAGCATTGAAATCCCAGTGACTTCACATTTTCAACCGCTCATAAATTCTTGTAGAGAATGGCGTCGCAGATATGAAAGGTAGATTTGGAATAAGCTTATCAAGGCGCATATAATGATATGCGGACCATACCAATTCGCCACCTTAAGTTAAGATCGTTCCCTTGTAAGGAGACAAAGTGAATTGTATTAATTCTTCAAACTGCAAATCTCCACCAAAAAAGCTTCAGATTGTTGGTCGAGAACTCCATATGACCCGTTAGTCGTTTTGAAGACTATAGCGCTCCTCCAGGCTTCCGAAGGTGCCCACATTTTATTTAGTTCAATCGTAAGCGAGCGACTATTGCAGTACTCACAGCTTGCGATCGTTATATTAGGTTGTCCGGAAATTAATGCCCGTTTTGAATTTCAACCGCAATAAGTC